CGGAGAAAACTCAAGTTGATGAAGTTATTCTGGGGAGATGGAGAGAAAAAGGGTGACCATCCACCCACCCCCAGGGGCTCAGAGCCGTCACCACTCACAGAGGCCCCTACATGAAGCCAACCAACAGGAAAAGCAAGCCAGACCCCAAATAAGGAGGGAGAGAAAGCACTATTTAATGCAATGGTGCGGAGGAAAAAACGTCGAAAAGGGAACAAAGTTTGGGAGGTGGTGGGGTGGGGGGATAGGGTGGGAGGAAGGAAGAGGCAACTCAAAAGCATAAACCCTCCCGGCCAGCCCCACCCGCAATGGGGAAAAGGAAAGAAAAAGGAAGGAAGAGAAAGGAACCGGGTGGGGTGGGGGTGGGGAAGAAATAACAAAAGAACAAGGAAAAGAAAATATATCCGAATCATCCAATCAGGAAAAAAATCGAGATGGTTTTTGTTTCTCCCAACAACCAAATGCACTGAGACGATAGGACACAAGCGGGTCAAGTTGCCGAATCCATCACACGTGTACGATGCACAAACACCAGGGCGGGGTGGGGGTAGCCAGCACGCTCAGGCCTGGCGGACATGTGCGGGTTCCCAGGGCATGTTACGCTCCGGGCCAGAAATGCATCTGTCGTGGGACTCAACGGGCACCTGCCCTGCCCTGCCCTGTAGAGCTGCCCACCCGCTCCTGCCCGCCCTGACCTCACCCCACGGCCAAGAGGAGCAGCGGCTTGAGCCAATCGGAGAAGCGAAAGAGCATCTTTTCTTACCCCCTTGGCGAGCGGGAATGGGGAGGACGGGAGGGAGCTGGGGCTGGTCGGCTGCAGGGCGAGTCCTCGCTGCCCGCTGAGTCGGAGAAGATGCATTTGGGGCCCTTTTCCCCCCTCTCAGGGATGGCTTCTCAGCTTCTGGGGCTGGGTGGAGTAGCTCGGGACCAGGCCTGCGGGAAGCAGGAAGTACGCAGCGCCCGTGGGTGGGTGAGCTGGCAAACAGCCCAGGCCCACCGAGGGGCCGGGGCTGGAGGTGGGGCCGTCCCTGCCCCCAGGACCTCCCTGGGTGGACCCTGCCTCAGCTCACGGGCCCCCTGTCTAGTCACTGCCTCTCCCTCCTCCCGCCCAGCCGCCGGGAGAACTTCCCAGGGAAGGGGGGGGGGGGCAGCCAACTGGGAGGGGAGCGAAGAGACCAGGCGGAGACGGGCGCTGGCTGGCTGGCTGCCCCAGGGGGTGGGGGCCTGCCTGCTGGGGCCTCAGGGTCGCCGATGGGTGGGGGGCAGGAAGCTCAAAGTCACAAATGGACCACATCTGGCTGACGGAGCTGTCTTGTTGGGCCTCGGCAGTTTTTGTTTTGTTTCGATGAAAAATAGTTGCCAGTGTTTAAAAGTCTGACTTCTCCCCCAAATCTGACTTGCTGGCAACCCTGGGCCTGCTTCCAGGTTGGCAAAAGTTAGCTGGGGCTCAGATGTGGCTGGCCCCCTGAAACAGGCCACACGTGCCCTCCAGGATCCTCCAGGATCCTTCCCAGTTACTGTATCTTGCCTGTATCCGGCCTGGGAGCTGAGAGGCAGGGATGGGGGTCCGAGACATTTCTGGGGCTCCAAGAGGCCTCTGGATTTGCTGGCCAAGTCTAGGATGCCTCTGGGGACACATCAGTTGGTCCTTAGGCCTCTAGGACGGGGGTGGGGGCTGGGAGATCCTACCTTGACCATACTGGGCCCAACCACCGTGAGACTGTCCCAAGGGCTTCGAATACGCTCCCACACCCAGCTCAGCTGAGAGTCACCCCCTGTGCCCAGCTGACCTGACACCCAGCCCTGCCTGGCCACCCAGCTCTACCTGGGGACGGGGCCGATGGCCCAGGTGTCCCCAGCCCCTCCCGACCATCCCCAGAGTACAAGCCATCCCTTCACGGGGCGGGTCATAACATGGGGACTCTGCCCAGCATGCAAAAGCAGGCGGGCCCTGGAGCAGCCTCCGGGGGCTCAGGGTAGAGCAGGGGGAAGCCTGTCACCATGCGGGAGAAGCAAGGGGGTGTTGCAGGGAGACGCGTGCAGAGAACATGCTGCCCTTCTTGGAGCTGAGGGAGGAGACACATGGGGGAGGTAGGGGGTGGAGATGACAGAGGTCCAGGTGACAGGGTAGGGGAAGGAACTCATCTGCCCTCCATCTCTTCTTGGTTCTGCATCGAGTCCTTCAAGTGCTCGCAGAACTGGCGACTTCCCTCTTCCTAGCTCCCGCTTTTCCATCCACAAGCCCGGAAGGAGCAGCTATGCTGTCCTTCAAGGCTGCCCTGTGCTTCCTGGTTCAAGGGCGATGGGGTGGGATGCAGGCCCCGGAAGGCTTGTGGTGCTCAGGGGCGCGAGAGCTCAGAAAGACATGGGAACCAGCCACCTGAGGGCTCCAGAGAAATCCTGCCCCCGGCAGCCCCCATCTCAGCTGACTTTGCCTCTGAGCTCCAGACCCCATAACCACTCGCCTGGCCCGACTTCTTCCAGGGTGCTCTTAAAGGCACCTCAGACCCGCCACGGCTGTGCTCTACACCTGTTCTCTTCTCCTAACCTGCTCCTCTTCTGGCATTCCCTAGATTCTATCTCCCAGTTCAAGCCAGACTCCGATCTCTCCAGGTACCTTCCTCCCCCAGTCCAGACCTAACCCATCCCCGGGTCCCGGAGAAGCCCCTGCTCAGACGGCGGCCAGTCCCCTCTCGCTGGGGATTCCCCCTTGCGGCCCGGCACCTCCCCCCCTCCACACCCCCCTCCCTCCCTGGCCGCCGGCTGCTGCCTCACAGCCTCGCCATCCTGTCTAATCACACTTCCAATGCTACCCCTGCTGTAAATGCTCCCCGGCTCCCGC